CATCCTCATCCTGGGCTCCACATTTATTCCCTGGAATGAGTTGTCGGTGCCTGTTCCGCACGGTATGCTAATACCTCCATGGCAGGGAAAGCTCAGACCCCATCTAAAAGCTCCCTAAATTTCAAACTCAGAAAGAAGGAGGAGGAGGACAAGGAGGGGGAGGAGCCTCAAGCCTCAAGACCATGATTCCTTCCTTCATGGGCCCTTCTTTCCCAGGAGCTCCTGGCTTCCTACTCAGGTTGTTCCAGCAACAGCGTCTCCAGCCTGGAGGCTCGGGGGCAGCCATCTACACCCTGGCACAGCGCTCCTGGCCCGCCAGCTGGCAGGCTCACCTGGCCACAGGAAGTCCCTCTGTCCTTCTCTGGAAACACAGTGAACGTCTGTTTCAAAGTGGCTTTCTCTTCCACCTCTTCCTGGAAGTGGTGAGAAGAAATAACAAAGCTTGCCTTCAAGGTGACTTTCTGTCCTTCCCGTTTCTGGAAACAGCCAGGAAGTGACCTGTGTAAAGAGCCATCATTATCTGCACCTTTACCTTACCAGGAAGCGGATTTGGGTTTTGAGAGTTTTACAGTTAAAAACAGACTTCTTTGTTCATCCAATCCTTATTTTTATTATGGAAATTAACCAGGTCTTGATTCTCGTTTCCTTTGAGCTCAGATTTAGTGGTCAATCCCAGTTGGAAAGTCCAGGGGGCCGGTCTAGAGCTCTCTGAAGGAGGTTGGATTTTACATGCAGTCCAAGATCCCGACCTATCCCCCGTAGACTGCACCGACCTCCACGAGGAGTCTTTCACGGTGCTTCTAACTGGGCTCTTTGGATCGGTGTACGTCACATGGTTTGGTGTGGCTGCGGTTTGAAGAGATTGGTTGATGTCTTCTGGGTGTTTCATTTACATTTTCCATTCCAGCCCTCACTTGGCTGGCCCTTTCCTGGGGAGCTGAGGGGGTAGCTCTCAGGTTTGGTTGTTGAGCACAGAACTGATTTGGGCAGGGGTGGCTCCTATGTGCAGGCAGAGCCATAAGCACTTCTTGGAGTTGGGATTGGGGTTCAGTCGTCAGCTCAGTGCTGGGGAGGGTGCTGGCTCAGGCCCTGAGGTGCAGAGAAGCTCCTGCCCTAGCAACCCACATCGGTGCCTCAGGGGACTAGGGGACAGGGGCTCATCATTGCAAGTTCAAACACTCAGAGGTTCCTGAACATGCTGAATCCTCACGTCACTCATTTTGGGGGGAGGAAGGAGGAAATATCAAGACCTAGAACTCTTTTCACTCTTGTCCTCTGGCCTGAAATTCCAGATTATGTTGTTTAAAACACACTCCTGGTTCAATGGAGACTGCTGAAGAGCTCTTCTTCCCTCCTCCACCCCCTTCTCTGTCCTCTGCTCCCCTCCTCTTGTTCCCCCTCCTCTTCTCCCTCTGCCAGACCTTCTTTCCATCTTTCACTTTATTCTCTTAAAGCTCCAACTCTCCTTACGTGGGGGCCCAACACAGACATTTGGGAAGACTTGCCTCTACACCTTATGGGACACACTGGGACGGATCTGCTTGGCAGATAAAAAGTAAAAATGCCCTGGAGAGAAATGTGGTCCTTCACCCTCAGACAGGGGAGGACAGCATTTCAAGTGTGCATTAGGCCTTGAAGGGTAGGAAAGGACATTTCTCTCTGGGTGCATGGAGCCTTGTTTCCAGAGAAGAAGGGGAAGTGCAGACGATACAGATGGGTCCCTTCCGTCGACAGGGAAGGCTGTGACAAAGGAGCAGGGAGCCTGTACAGTGCCCCCTGAGTGTGGCTTGCTGAGTAGAGGACAGCAGTGATTCCGTCAGAATGTCGGAAAGAAGGAGCAAGGACAGGGACAGGTGTCCAAATGTGGACTGTCATTGCTGGAGAGCAGAGATCCCACAGGTGACGGCGGCTTCAGCGAGCTCTGCGGTCTGATGGGTGTCCCATGGGTGAGCCTTCCCTAGCATAGAGACTCCTGCTTTAGGTTCTATTTAATAGGATGGGGAAATGACATAGAAAATCCCCCAGGGCACAAATAGTGCCTCATCCTGGGCTTCACATTTAGCCTTGACATTTAGCAATTTTCAGTCACTATGGCTTGAGCCCTGGGGTCCCCTTGGCCAATCTGCTCAAAACCAGAGATGTTTCCCTTCCCTAAAAAAATGTGGGCTGATGGAAATACATTCACCAGCAAGTTCTCAGAATGTTCTTGAAAGCACAGTTAAAAAGCGGTAGCCTTGGATATGGCAGGTCTGTGTGCCAGGTCAGAGGATCTCGATCCGCTTCTCCCATTTCTGTCCACAGCAATCCCAGGAGGTCAGTGTGGACATGCCCATTTTTCACATGGAAAGCTTCTGTTATAAGGGGTGATGTCACTTGCCCAAAAAGGCAGGTGATTGAACTGTTTTCCTGGCTGTCCCTTTGGGCAGCAGATGGCCCGTGCCGCTCTGACCTTCAGAGTCTTTACCTCATCCATCCTCTGCCATGTTGTCAGGCTGGCTTATAGATCAGCGAGGCCCTGACGGTGACAGAGAAAGGGCTGGGACAGCAAACCAAAATGGGTTTCTGTGCAGAGTTCTTTCTATTTAAAAGTCACCTGCATCTGAATCCAGCAGGACTCAACAGGGCTCCACCGTGCAAGGCGGACCACAGCAGGCACCTCTTGGCATCCTTGAGATCACCCTTGGATGCTGCATGTAGCTGAACAGGTGCCACTTAGATGTCACTGTATGTTGGGAGGTGACAGAGCGCCCTGCTTCCTAGGCATGCTTTAAGCCATGGGGTATGCTGCAGGAGGTCGTAGGGCAGGTTTTCTTTTTTGGTTGGACTGATTTTCTTGTATTTTGTGACACCTTTTCCTACCATGCTATTTCTTTCTTTCTGCTGTGTTTTATCAAGTGCCTGCCTTTTGCTACAACATTAGATACATGTCCTCATCCACCTGAGAGTTTATTGACTCAGTTCTTAAATAGGTCGATAAAGGATGAGTCCACACAGTGCCTCATTAGGGAATAATGTCTTAGCTCGGGTTACTGTGACAGGTGCCATAAGTTGGGTGGCATATGAGTAACAGAAATTCACTTCTCATAGTTTTGGAGAGTGGAGGCCTGAGGTCAGGGTGCCAGCACCATGACCCTCTTCTGGACTTGTGGATGGATGACTTCTCCCTGCACTCTCTCATGACGGAATGAAGGGTTAATTCTCTGATCTCTTTTCAAAAGGGCACTAATCCCATTCATAAGGACATCACTCTGTGACCCCATCCCTCCCAAAGGCCCTCCCTCCAAACACTGTCCCACTGGAAATTAGATTTTAACATAAGAACTCCAGGGGAACACAGCACTCAGTTCCTAACAAGGAGTGTTAAGACATCTGCATCTTGATTTTTGAGCCTCAGTTTTTTCATCTGGAGTGAAGCTTACCCTAGGAATGTACTATGAGGGTTACAGTGAGTAACACTTATAAAGCACTTTTGGAAGCTCTAAATGCCACCCAGTAGGTCATTGTTTTGAGTAAGTAATTATTCCTTTATGCAAATTTAATGTTATTTTAGAATACTTCCGTATTTTTTCGGACAGTATATTGTATGTATAAAGTTTATGGAGGAATTCACCTGTGTATTCCATTGTGACCCTGCCCAGTGGATGCAGTAAGGTCTTTTAACCTCATTATCTTTCTGAAATTCAGCTTAACATTGAAAATAGTATTCAGGGATGGTGGCATATAAAAACATATCGGAGCAAACACGCCCAGATGAGTTCTTCACATCATATGTGATATGCAAACATCTTTCAGGAGAGATGGGTCTGTGGGTTTCTATCACTCTCATTCCCTTCTTTCTTGATTCCAGGATGGGGGAAGTATGGGAAGACTCACAGAGGAGGAGGGGACAAGTGACTGAGTGAGGAATTTAGCAGGCCAGGTACTAAATCCCAGCCAGGAACACTGCCCAGAGCATAAGTGGCCTGTTGAGGTCAGATGGCTTCTAAGACATTGAATTTCTCCCAATGAAACCAGAGTTTGAGATGAAGTTCAATTCTCCATTTCTCCTGGTGTGGGGTACTGTGTAAGCGGCTGGCCCCTGTAGCTGAGAAAGCCCCATTTTAGTGTTAGCAGCTAATCACAGCAGGAATGCCTACTGGCATCAGCTTTGAGGGTCACAGCTAGCAAAGCTCAATTCTTCTCCAGGGCTGTGGAGTGGCATATTGAAGCTCTTGGTGTTACAACTCTAAATGGTGCACTATGCCCTCCAGTGTTGCAACAGACCCCAGCAGCTCACCACCAACTTCTTTCCTGGTTCTTATTTCCTAAATCTAAAGAATGAAACTCCCAGACAATGGAAGGCAAGAGTAGAGGAGTAAGATTTATCCCAATGTTAATAGAAACAGAACTCTGAGAAGGGCAAGAGGGAACCCCAACAGGGCTTGCCACCTGAGCGTACTAGTCCAGGGGTTCCTATTGCACTTGGTCAATGCTAGTAGGTGCCAAGTGAGGCTAATCAGGGTTTGGAAAAGTACCAATGTTATTAGCTGACCCTTAAGTCTGAACTTCCATGCGGGTCTGCCCCACTTATATTTTCTTACTGTAGGAAGTAGGAAGTTGAGGTCATTGGACAGTGGATGATGGGGGTTCAGAGCTTCGGAGAAATGGGCATAGTGGGTATCCACACCAGGCCTGGGCCAGGTTACCACCAGGTAACAGGTTGGCATGCCCTGGCTTGCCACGGCCCTCGCTTGCTGCACATCAGGCCCCTGCCACCTGTGCTCCAGCCCTCCCGGGCTTCCACGCCATAGCTCCAGGACAAGGACTTGGCTTCCCTGAGATACCAGCCCCACTGGAGAACCACACGTGTGGGGGTGTCATTCATGCACGGTTTTAAGCTTTGGAAATTGCAGTGCAGTTTGGGGTTGGGGATTGTTACTTTCCTAAAGTGACATCTGATGGGGCTGCAGGCACAGGATGGCGTTGGAGTTCATGAGCACCTTCTGATTCTTGTTTTGCAGAGAGCAGCACTCTGCATTCCGCCTGTGTCCATGAGAGCACTGTGCACAGCCGGGTCTTCCAGATCTTATACAGGAATGAAGAGGTGCCCATAAATGATGCCATGATCTTTCGAGCTCATTTGCTCCTTGACGGTGAAAGGGTAAGTCGTGAATCAACCACCAGCCCAAGACGCTATTCTCCCTCTTGACCAGTTCCTCTCATTGATAGGTGAATGGTAAGTGAAGGTGAAGCCAGAGACCAAGTCTGAAATCTGACAGATGGGAACTCATGGGGTTAGGGCATTCATGCACTTGCTTAGATGCATCCTTTACTCATCCTTTCATTCACGGGCTTGCTCATCTCATGAGGTCTCAGGGGCAAGCATCTCCAATGACCAACTCAGCATCTCTCTTCCATTCCTCACTTGTCTGTCTGTGCATCCATTCAGGCACTCTGTCATGAATCAGTCAGCATAGGCTTTTGAGTAGCCTCTTCTTGCAAAGCCTGTGTTGGGCTCTTGGATGAGAGACAGAGGTGAAGAAGGCAGCAGGACCTCAGCCTTTCCGGGGTAAATTCTTCAGTAGGGACAAAGATGTTTAAACAAGCATCTTGGTGCACTATGCTGGCTACGTAGGGAAGAATAAAGGGAAGCCAAGAGTGGAGAACTGAGCTCTGGGACCACAAAGCTGCTGCTCAGCAACCCCTTCACAAAGGAGCTGGCTTTCAGACCTACCTGCTAAGAGTCTATCAGACAGAGACAGAGAAAGAACATCCCAGGAAAGGGAATGGCAGGAATGACAGCGGAGAGACCTTGGCTCGCCATTGAAAATTCCTCACGCATCAAATTAACACATTTCAAAGGAGGATATGGAGTCCAAACATTGCTCTCACTCCCTAGCCCCCCTCAAATCCCTGGTGCCACATTCCTGTTGATTATTTCTTGATAGAATCCCTTTCAGGATGTGGAAAAGTGCTCCTATTTTAGGAAAACTTAATTAGAGTCCTCCTGCTTCATTCCCATGTGGTGTGCATAGCAGCTTCTCCTGGCCACGTGTTCTCCTCTTCTGTCCCTCAGCTTTTGGTCCAACTTTTGTGCTCTAGGTAGTGACCAGGATTTCCTGTGTGGCTAAAAGTAAGTGCTGCTACTTGTTTCCCATTTATCCACCCATCTCTCTACTTCTCCAAGATTCTCTGACCCTCACTAAGTATGTCCCATACTGGAGATAAATAGGGAAAGAGAACACCTGGTGTTTGGGGCTTCTATTTCAATGTTACCTCTTGGCATTATTTCATTTTAATTCCCTGTTTCTTGATACGGCCCTTAAAAATTTAAGGCCTTTTGAGTTGAACCTCATGAGATCCTAAAACATTCCCAAGGTTAAATGGGAGCCTGTTTCATAGGATATATTGGTTTTTTTCTCCATGTCAAATTATTTACCTATAGAAAATAACAATTCATTATTGTCAGCCGTAATGCATATGGCAGCAAACAATGTTGCAACTAATCATTATATCCAAATCAGTGATAATTAAAGTTAATTGGATATGTCTGAAAACCTGTGTATTCGGAATGCATGCATGGATTCTTTTCCAGTGCATATCTATCTGCTTGTGACAGCCAAAATACTGCTTACTGCCTGCGGCTGGGTAAGACAGAGGATATGTCCAGGAATGAATGCATCCGTCTCTATAAACAACAGATATCAGCACAGTGGATGCTTGTCCGTCAGGCATACCTTGCCAGGAGCCATGGGGAATTCCCACATGGAGAGGACTCAGTGCACACAGTGAGGCTGCAGGGAGTGCAAGGGATGGCCATGGAGAGAACTAGTCCATCACAATTAAGAAATGTGATGAGATGTTTCAACAGAACTTGCAAAGAGCAAGTGTGGAGGTAGTGTGTGTGTGTGTGTGTGTGTGTGTGTGTGTGTGTTATATAAATGCTGTGGAAACCCACAGAAGATTGAGGAAGGCTTACAACATACATGGATTGGTAAAAGGGGACAAAAAAATAAAAGCAATGGAATGAGCCAGAGTAGAGGACAAATACAGAAAGGGAGAGAAGGCCTGGGGTAAATACAGCAGAACATAATGCACACACATCCTCTGGACCTTGGCTAATGGCAGCCCACACATGGAGCACAGACCCCTAGCTGGCAAAATGGAGAAGACACAATTACAATGACAAGATGCCTGATGCTCTGAGGAGGAAGAAGAACAGATTGCATCAATGTGTGTGCGTGTGTGTGTGTGTGTGTGTGTGTGTATGTGTGTGAACAATATTGCATTATATGGGTTTAAAAAGAAAAGCGTTTCCCAAAGTGGGATTCCAGGGAGTACCCACATCATAGTTCTTTGGTAGAACTTCCACAAAATGCAGATCCTAGAGGCCACCCCAGACTGGTGATTTAGCAGAGCATTAGGATTTGCAGGGTGGGTTACTGGGTTGATTCAGAGTTTGGGAATGGAGGCATAGGTGGGATTTCCCTACCAACCAGTTAAGCACTTCTGAGACACAGGACAGCAGGACAGTGAGGAGTAAAACAGGGCAGATTTGAGGAAGACAGCGCCATGCTTGTGGCACAGAAAGCACCACGGACACGGATCTGGAAAGGAAGGTTAAGAAGAGCATGGGGGTCACAGGGACCCCACTGAGTCCACCTGTTCACCCTGGTCTAAAGGCAGGAGGATTTCCAGACTCAGTGGGAGGAGGGTTTGCGCAGGTCATTCCTGCACAAATATGGGAAATGGGGCTCAGGAGACTAAGGGTGTAGAAGCTGTCACTGCTGCTGCCCACATGAGAGTTGCAAGTGTCAAGGTAGAGGTTGGATGGGTGACCAGCAATCAGATGGACGGGAACCGTGCTGCAGGATGGCCCAGAACAGCCCATGGAAGCGGGTCAGGTTAAGTCCAGAGATGAAGGGCTTCACACAGAGAAGACAGCCAGTGATGTGACCCTACTCTGTGGCATGAAGTTTCTGTCCAGGGTCGTTGGGAGAAGCAAAGATTCGACTGAAACGTGACAGGCATCCAGGTTGTGTGGGAATGACCATCATGATGACTTTAACAGTAATGGTATCTTACATTTATTAGGGGGTGCTGTGTGGCAGGCATTGTGCAGAGTATTCTCTTTGATTCACTGAAACAACGTTGTGTTTTATTACTCCTGTTTTATGGATGAAGATCCTGAGATTAAGAGATGTTAAGTTATTGTCCTAAAGTCACCCCACCAGGAAGGAAAGGGGTAGAAAGAGGCTTCCAGCCCAGGTAGTCTAATCCCTGTGGGTAGGACCACTGTGGGGTTGGTGGCCCAGAACTAAAGAGGAAATAATTGGAATAATAATAACTAATATTTTTTGAGAACTGTCAACCCCTTGTGTACAAATTATCATATTTAGTTCACACAACAAAACCCTATGGAGTAAGCATGATTTACTTCCATTTTACAGATGGAAATCAACTGAGAGGCAGACTCAGTGACAGCATCAGAATTGGCACCTATGTAGCCTGCCTTCAAAAGCTCCTCCTTAGCCACCAGTCCAAGTGAGGATTGGGGGACAGGGAAAGAGGAGAACTGATGAGTCACAGTCATGAGTAGATTTGAAGCCAACAGGGAGAGGAGGTATAGCCTAGAACTCAGGTTTGACCGTGAGGATTAGAACCCAGGGCAGAACCAGGCACATAAGACTTGCTCAAGGGCCAAGCTTGACCATACTGAGCCTCAGTTTTCTCACTTGTAAATGGGGGACAATATTTCTTCATTCATAGTTTTATCTACATCAGGTAAGGTCTGCCACATAGCGACTCTTTCATAAGTATTAACTTCTTTTATGATTTCCATTATCATGCAAAAATACCTCAGGTCTTGTGAACCCAACCCTTGAAAGGAGATGTCTTTAACTGAGAAAAGACAGGGTTAAGGAAAGACGGGTATGCTGTGTAGTGTGTTTGTGTGCATGCATATGTGTTTGGAGGGGCGGATAACAGCCCTTCATGAAATGAGTGGTTACAGAAGGTAATGACTTCATTTGGAATATATATTGCAAGTAAGATGTATTGAGGTGTCAGTGAAGTCACAGCCAGGCTCAATCCAGCCACGGCTCCCAGGGAACTGCATCGAGTTAAAAGTTGGAGCTCACAGGGAGTTTTCATTACCAAGGCAAATGCAGCTTGGAAGGTGGCTGGGGCCTTGCTTTGCCAGTCTTACTTCCAAGGAACTGGTGGCATGGGCTGCGTTGCTTTCATTGTGTGTGTGAAGTGAGGCTCGTGATTATGCAAAACAAATCTAGGAGAAGTTATTTATAGCATTTGGATTCAGCAAAATGTTAGCTTTTAAATGCTTCTTTTTAAAACAACAATTTTTAAAACCCTAAGGACCTAAAGATAAATTCCATCCATATGTCTCTGCCTGAATTATGCTTAACCAGGAAGACATTTCCAAAGAGGCCTTTGGATAGGAGATTTCTGTCCCTGAAGGATGAGCACATTCTTGCAAAGACACAATCCCCACAAAAAAAGGTGGGATGAGAAGGGCTTTATTCCTTGAAGATGCAAAGACACTTTCTTTGTCGCAGGCCCTATTCCTTGAGCTTGAGGTCCAGAAGTAGGAAGAGCAGTGTCCCTTTAATGATAAGATTAGAAGGAACATCCAGCAAGAAAGTAGGCGGGGGCTTAGCACAGGCCAGACAGGCATCAGCAGTGAATGGTGAAGCAGTGGTAGGTGCAAGAAGAATCGCTTGCTCCAAACCAACACCAGCTCTGCCAGATCCAGGGATTTTATTTTTCCAGAACCTAGAAACCTGCAATTCGAATGTGAAATTGCCTGAATTTTAAATGTTTGCAACTTGTTCAAAACATTTTTTAAAATACCATGGGGATTAAACAAAACACGTTCACAGATAGCATTTGGTTCCTGAGATTCCAGCTATAAACCTGAAACAAACAATTCTAATATGAAGTACTAAATGCTAAGAGAAAAGAAGCAGGGTTCTGTGGGGTACAAAGGAGGACACATCCGGCCCAGGGATGGGGCTGAGTCCTGTCACCTGTGTGCAATGCTGGTGCTGGGAAGGCCAGCTGAGAGGAGGGACTGGGACATCTGGAAGTTAGTGTGAGACTCCCTTTCCACCAGGGGTGATGATTTTGAGCATGAGAAAAGAAAAAGTGGGATACCGGTGTATGTGGGAAGCACAGACTTGCTAACAATGAAAGGACACAAAATGCTAAAAAGAAGGGTCTTGAAATTGAAATGGCTACATGTAAAGATCCTCAAGGTGACAATGAAGAGCTTCTTTCTTGTGGACTTGAGCCTCCTGGGGAAATGACTTCACATTCCTGAGTGTGGACTTCCCCCTCTGCACATGTGGACACATCCCTGCCATGCAAGGGAACTTGGGGTTGGAGAAGACTTTATCGATGATTTATCCCATCACTAGCCAAGTTAGATTTCACTGTAAGTTCACTCTTCCGTCCTCCTCAAAGGAGGTGCTACTGAACATCTCATCCTGCCTGAAAGGACTCCAGATCTAATGCACAAGCAAATGAGGCCTCCGGGGTCCTACCCTTAGGAGACGTGTTTAGCTGTTTTGGCACAGAGGCTTTAGCAAGCAGCTACGTAAATGCTCTCCTTCCACTTTGCACAGAACTCACCCAGGGACCCTGTTCATGCAGAATACCACAGAACTTTCAGGGAGAACCTGCTTTAAGCATCAGTGACTTTCATTTTGTGCTGGAATTCTCTACTGTTTCTCTAGTTTAGGAAATAGAACAGCTAAATATTTCAAGTCGACCAGAGTCGGTTTCTGAAATCCCTCGGACTTTCTCTCTTTTGCAGGTGGAAGACGCGCTGAGCGGGGTGGAGTTTCAGCTCAAGGTGGACCTGCACTTTACGGATAGTGAGGAGCAGTGAGTTGCGCTGGCCCTGCGGCTTCCCCACCCCGTACCCACCCTGGGGTATCCCCAAGGCTCAGTCCTCACAACGACTTTCAAAAACCCAGTTTGGGGAAGCTGCCAGGTCCCACCAGTCACAGCTGACCAGGAACAGGGGCCAAGAATGTCTGTGTGGGCATTTCAAACTGTGCATTTGAGGCAGGTGGCTCCGGTTTTGTGTGCACAGAAATCTCCCCACTTCTCCGCCGCACTGGCTGATGCCTTCTGTCCTCAGTACCCTTTCACTGCGGTAGTAATTGGTGGCTTTAGAATAACGGCCCTGTGAGGCTGTAAAATTCAAAGCCTCCTCTGAATCAGAGGAAATTTTGCCAGGGCTCTGCATCTTTGTGCAATGGATCAGCCTCACCCTGGGAAAACCACCTTGGTGATCATGGTACCTCCCCTGCCAGGTGACTCTGCATCTCTGTACTGAATACCTTCTGTTGTGTTTCAACTCTCTGAAAATTGAAAATCCATTTATGTATAACCTGCTGATTAAATCTCTGGAAAGTGACTCTCTTCCTTCTCGTGGCTGCTTCCTTTAATTCTTCCTTGTGGCCTCTGCCTTCAGCCCTGAGGTGAACCGTCCTCTCATTGAGCACAGTGGAGTCTTCCAGGTAATGAGTAAATCATCCTTTACCTCGGAATTGGAAACTCCGAGCAGGAATGTCAAGACTCTAAACTCTCGTCCTGGCTGTAACTTCCACCTGCCTTCTTATCCCACCCTGGGTCCAGGTTCCAGAGGGTGAGGACGCCCAGTGCAGAGGCAGGGCGTGGGTGGGGCTTTATATTTCTTCCCTAGCTTCCTTCTCCACTGCGGTTTTGGGGCCAGGCCGTGAGGAGGGAGAAGATGGAGAAAATGGCACGAAACGAAATTGGGTTGGTGGAAGGCAGGGCCCGTTTTGTGGCAGTTGCTGCTTCCGCCTTGGAGCGTTCTTGTTAATTCCTTGGAGATCTACTCATTAGACCCCCAGCCGCCTCCCCAGCCCCCTCTGCGGCCCTCTGATCCAGTGGGGCCTTTTCCAGCTGGGTGACGGTGCCGCGCAGCACATTTTCGGAGGCAGTGTGTCAGTCAGCTCTCCATCACTGCGAACAAAATGCCTGACGAGAGCAACCTGGAGGAGGAAAAGCTTATTTTGCCTCAGAGTTTCAGCCCATGGTTAACGACCACCATTGCCCTGGCCTGAGGTAAGGCAGAGCATCATGGTGGAAGGGTGGGGCAGAGGAAATTACTACACTCACTCACGACAGCCAGGTGAAGGTGTCATAGAGAAGGTGAGCCCTTCCTGGGCACGTCCCTAGTGACACGTCTTCCCCAACCGTGCCCCACCTGCCCACAGCTGCCATCACCTAGACACTCACACTAGGATGGCTGAGTAGGTTACAGTCCTCGTAGTCCAATCATTTCACCTCTGCATTAAGGGGATATCCCATAACCATAACCATGACATCCTGTCCCTGTTCCCAAGAGCTCATGTCTATCTCGCAAGGAAAAACACATGTAGCCCACTTTGAAGAGTCAGCACGGTCTTAACAGTCCCAGCATTGCCCAAAAGTTCAAATCCAAGTCTCCTCTGATACTTAAGGCAAACTCTTGGCTGTGAGCCTTGCAAAAAGTTACATACATCCAATACATAATGGCAGAGACTAATCATTCCCATTCCAAAAAGGAAGGATAGGAACATTGCAAGAAGGGATGGGGCCAAAGCAAGACTGAAACCCAGCTGAGCAAACATTTCCCGTGGCTCTGCCTCTAGCATCTGGTGCACATGGTAGCAAGTTGTCTCTGCAGGGCTGGGTGGTCTGCCTCTGTGACCATGCCAGGTGAAGCCCACATGGCCCCTCTTCTAGCCTGGCTCTGTCCTCAGACAGTAGTGTCCTGGCAGATAGTCCATGTTGCTGGCATGTTACTGGAGCTTTGGGGGGAATACCTCATATCCAAACACAACAGACACTCCTCCAAGGATCCCACATCTAGTTCCTGGGAAATAGACAAAGTCACTTGAACCCCCATCTCACATTCATGGAGAATCACCCCCACCCCACGTCTATTCTCTCTCCCTCGGGCTAGTCCAGCCTCATCCAGCTGCTCAGCGGAGGGCCTTAGAAGGATGAGGTTGTCACCAGGACCTATTTGCACAGACCAGAGTGTAGTAACTTCCCTCTGCCCCACCCTTCCACCATGATGCTCTGCCTTATCTCAGGCCAGGACCATGGTGGTCGTTAACCATGGACTGTCCATGGGCTGAAACTCTGAGGCAAAATGAACTGTTCCTCCTGCAGCTCACTGGAGGACCCTTCCTCTGCTGGCAGACGGTGATAAGGAGCAAACTTCCTCTCACCACTGTCCCCTGGAGAACTCAGATACACCGACCACTTTACAGAAATTAGCATCAGTCCTCACATCTGGTCTTGCCTTTTCTTTGGCGAATGAGAACTAGGAGGCTGACTCGCCAGCACTTGATGGTCCTCCATCCCTCCAAGGACTTTCTCTCAGTTCTCAGGGATCCAATCCCTGAAATCTACCTAGTGGTGGTGGGTGTTTTCCTAACATGGGCAGTTGAGGTGGGATTGGGGGTGAGATCTGAACCAAAGAGAGGCCTGATTGGGTCTGGGCCTTGGAGAGTGGACCTGTGTTGATGTGGCTGGGCTTTCCTGGTCTCACAGTGTCTGTCCAGGGTCCTGATCCATGTCTGGGCTCAACATTGTGAACTCCTCCTTCTTGTCTTTATCAGGACCCCTAGTCATCTGCTTTTCTCCTTACATCTGCTTCCCACTTCGTGGGAAAGTGGAGGCTTAAGAAACCCTGTGTATATTCTCAGAATCAAACCCATGCCCCGCTCCACCATCTGAGGTCTCTCTCATTCACTCCTCCGATAACCCACCAGTGCCCTATGTCCCATGTCCACTTCCTCCAGTTTTCATCCATGGCTCTGTGGCAGGCATTCCCAGTTACTATAGAAACCTACCATTGATTCCAGCCCCAGCCTGGAAATCACTCCCCAACACTCCCTTAAGAAGCTCTAATGTAAGTCATAGTGGACACAGTGAATGACACTTTCCTTCCTGAAGAAGTCATTCATGGTGAGCCGGTGCACAGGAGGCTGAGTGAATCCTTGGATAAGATGCAGCCATTGGGGTTCAGTTCTCATTAACTCTGAACTCTCGGGAGAGTCCCTGTGTTTTTCCAAATCTTAGTAGCCCTGTTTATAAAGTAGGCATTATTATTGGGTCTGTTATGAGGATTAAGAGGGACAATACATGTAGCAGTCCCCGTGCAGGGCCTGCTGAACCAGTGACTGCTTTTATGGCTTTAGAGATGAAAGCAAGGTCAGGCTTCAATGTGTGGCTTCCTCTGTGCAATATGAAGCTCTTAACAACAATCTGAACGGGGCTTGCATGAAGTACAAGATTAGCTAAGAGGAACAGGAAGCCAGCAGCTGGGGAAGATTGGAAATGCCATAGATTTTCATTTTCTTAAATTGGGTTTAAGGATGATAAGGCATCTGTAGCACATCCTGGGGGAAGACATTAGACTTTGAAGCATCACCAGGTCAGCTGGCTTCTTTGGCCCCAGGTGGAAAACAAGCAGACAGGAATCAAATGGAGCAGGTTGGAAGGGCACTTGAAACCCATCTCATCCACTGGCTCTAATAAAGGTGGGGTAAAGCTGGCCCTGGGGACATTTGTCCTTGTCCAGAGACACAGGGGTGAGAGGGATATTGGAATCTGGTGGGTATAAGTCGGAGATGCTGTGCAGACTCGCAGTGACAGGACAGCCCCGATCCCAGCAAAGTCTCTTCAGGCCCCAGAGTCAACATCCCTAGACTGAGGCGCCCTGCTCTGGCCTAACTGCCCCCTATACCTGCCTGCAGAGATCTTCCACGCCTGTGGCCTCAGGCCAGGGAGCATACGCCTTGTAGTCATATCCCTTTCTGTCTCCAAACTGCTCTGCTGCCCAGGAGATTCTTTTCTTGAAGGGACAGTCCATCCTTATGTCCTTCCTTGGGTGCCCTCAATTTGATTCTTCTTACATAAAGAACACTCTCAGTGTGGACGGCTGTTTGGCTCAGGAGACCTCTCCAAGCCACCTCTTCATCTCCAGGCTACACCCTGGGCTCTCTCCCTGCTGATCTGCTTGTTTGTTATTGTCTTTACTTGCTTTTTGTTCATTGGTCTTGGGTCATTTATAAGAACCCAGGCATTCTCCCCTGCCTGGGTGCTGTTGAGTTTATCTCTGTCTTTTCTAAGTTGAGATACCCCCAGCATCTGAGTTTGGTCTCCAGGAATTGGTTCTACGTATCTCAGGGCACCAAAGGGCAATCAACTCCCACTTTCTTCATTGGTGACTCTAATTAAAGTGGCTTAAATTCGTGTTAACGTTTTTATACCTCTGCTACCCTGTGACTTGTTTAACCACCTGTTAAACCTCCTCTTCAACTGCCTGTTGGTCAGTCTCTAAGAACGTGTCAGGGCAGTGTTAAAGTATCTTGGAACAGACCGTGCAGTCAGAAGGACATGGTCTGACCTTTCCGTTTTGCTTGTGACTTTGAGCAAGTTAATTAACTCACTTGGCCTTTTTTCCTCTTCAGTAAGTGGAATAACATTAGTAAATACCTCCTATAAGTATATAGAGAGGAAGAGAAAAGCAGTGTGTTCAATTCCTAGACAGGCCTCATGAATTATCAGCTTTGAATCAAGTGCAATGCTAATGACTCTCTGAGCTCCTGGGGTAGAGACTTCATCCCATCCTCATGCGAGTTCTTCCTGGTCACTTGCAGCGTATTTATGGAGTTGCGCGGGGCCTGTGGTTTTAGCTCTGTCACAAGGCCTCCATCGGCCCAGGAGCATCAAGAACTGCAATGAGGGACAGCTGTTGGGGGCTGTGGGCGGCTGCTCCCTTTACTCCAGTGCCTTGCCTCACCTCCTCACCTGTGGAGGAAGGGAAAGCTTCTCTCTTGACTCAGTCCTAGAAGACACTCCTCCAGCTTTCTCACATGCTCGTGAGCCTGAGGGATTGGTTTTCAGAGCTGCAGGTTAGTGCTGGTCCTCCTGAGGTCCACTGTATCTGGTGTTATTTTTAGAGGAGACTCAAGCTCCCTTTATAAGCAAAGGTGCTGCTGGGTCTTCCCTTCCAGTTGGTCACCTCTGAGCATCCGGTGCACACCGGTCATGACCTGTCAGAACAAAGGTGGGGCCTTCATGAAACCGCTCAGACCCATTGGCCATGCGCTCCGGGTCCATTCTTGCTTTGGCTCGGTCAGTCAGTCATCCACCTCAATGAGCACACTGTGCAGCTTCTACTCTTGCCAGGCCTAATTGGGTGTTGGAGCTGGAAAGACGGAGTAGTGGCAGCTCCTGTCCTTGGAGTAGAAATGTGACTGAAGGCGCAGGTTCTGAAGTGGATCGGCACAGTAAGCTCAGGGCTGCAGTTGGTGGAGCATCCAGAGAGGAAGGGAAGGAGAGCCGGGGAGGCTGTGGCGTTGAGAGGAGCCGCGAGGGAGCTGGGCCTCTTGGTCACCTGAGGTGTGGGTGTGGTGTCCCTGACAGCAGAGCATGGGTCTCAGGTCTGCCATGTAGCCTTAGTTCCTTCACTTGCTGATCACGAGGAAAATAATTCCTACCAGGCAGAGTTGTGCAGATTTTAAGATGAGCATGCCCTGCGTTTGGCCTGTGGACCTTGGATGACAGCAGGGAAAACCTCATCACTAACTTCAGCCACTTGCATGTTTTCCAGGTTAAGGGACGTGGCCGGGGCACCAATGATCAGCAGCCGCACACTCGGCCTGCACTTCCACCCCCGGAGAGGTCTGCACCACCAGGTCCCTGTCATGTTTGACTACTTCCACCTGTCAGTGATCTCCGTGACCATCCACGCTGCCCTGGTGGCTCTGCAGCAGCCCCTGATCAGGTATGAAGTTAGAGATGGCCCTGAGTCATGGAGAGTCACCTCCCATCACAGGTGTGGCTGGAGGCATGGAGCTTGCCCAGGGAGGTCAGTTTCGAGCAGAGAAGCTGCCTCCAGGCTGCGGGTATAGGTTTGGGCCTAAGAGACACAGAAGAGCTAGAGGAGCCATGTGGAGGGACCACCAGGAGGCAGAGGGGCACGGGGTGGAGTCCGGGGGCTGAAAACCTGCCAACTGTGGCCCCCACCAGGAGGGCCTGAAGTCTTCGCCTGCCTCACTTTTATCTGCCTGATTTGACAAGTCGTCTTATGTCCTGAGTCACATGAGCTCCATCTCTAAGGCAGGAGTGCTACATGTGTTGTAGTGACTCCCAGATGACAGGGCCAGCCACGTGGCAAGAGTTCCCTGCTCTCTCTCCTCCTTGGTGGCTATTTGTTCAAATGCGGGTGACCACATGTGCGATTGCTCCTTCGCTGACCTCTTTGAACGCCCCAGCATGGCTGACCATGGGCCTCTAAATCATCTCACAGTATCTCACGTGGGTGTGGACTAAAGGTGCAAATGTGTACCACGAGCTATTTAGGGGTAGAATCTTGTAACACAGATTTTTGGAAAGGGAATTGTCCCAATTTCCTTTCCCTGGATGGTTTCTCAGTGCCAAGAGTAAGTGGGGCTCACAGGGAATGTGAGGTGGATTCTGAGAGGAGAAAAGTGAATCACTTTTGGGAAGGTTTGCAGTAGTGTGGGCTTTGGGCGTTGAGGGCAATCGTGCCTGGGAGCTCATGCCAGAGCACATGGAAGAACCCCAGAAAATGGGGAATTGAGGGGTGCAGACAGCTGGTGAGCAGCAGCCCCCAAGCCTGGGGCCACATGGCCCACAGTGCTCTGCTGAGAAGCCCTTAACCTTGCCTGAGCTGTTTGATAGGAACTGTGCTCTGGAGATGGAGGAGGCCCTTGGGTCAGGGAGTCTGTGGGGCTGTTGGTTCTCCTTGCACCATGAGCACTTGCTGAGCGCCTGGTGTGCTGGAGAAGGCATCAGGTTCTGCCCTGCACGTCCTACTGGGGCATCATCAGGGTCCTCAAAGCAGACCTTTCCTTCAAGGAGCTCACTCACCGAGGAGGCGGCCAGTCTGCAGGTGTGGAAATATAACATGGTACGTGTTGTTGCAGTGGAGCTTGGTGGAAAGTGTTCTAGGATGTATCATCTCAGGAACACAGGGACGGACGCGGACCTGGCCTTGGAAAACTGCAGGAAAAGTAGACTCCAGAAGCGGCAGAGTGTTGTTCTGGGAAGCACGTTCCCCAGCCCTGAAGCTGCTTTGAGGATTGGCAGATGGGGCCTGGTGCAGAGCTCAGGGTCATCTCTGTGTCAGTGAGATGAGACAGGTGTCCTGAGATCAGCCTTTGTGCCAAAGGCAGGTGACAGCCTGGGGGAGGAAGGGCAGAGCTCTCTCTGTGGTTCCAGCTCCTCAAGAGTGGGTCGTCCTCCTCAGATGCAGTCACCGCCATCTCATTGTCCAGTCTACCCCTTAGTTCCTGGGGGTCCTTAGGCAGGTGGCCCAAACTCTCTGCACACCTGTTTCAACATATAAACAATGATGAATAAGGAGTTTCTTTCAAATGGAGGTGAGATTGAGCCAACAGAGAAGATGGGGATGTCGTGGAACGAGTAGAGGGCCTACCCTTGGGGCAAATGTCCTTGGCTCAGGGCGTGGTTTGCTGTGCTTGAACCACTCATAGCTTGAACCTGGAAGCTCCGAGATGAGCAGATCAGGCTCCCCAAACCCAGAAGGTGCAGAGCCTGGCAGAGATCCCCCTAAGCAGTGAGTCCAGGTTCAGAGTGACGCCAGTGAAACTGAGGGGTGTGCCCAGTATGCAGGGAGCCCATATAGGGTAGGGTTAAAAGCAAGGACTTTAGGGTCAGAAGGGCCCAGGTGGCAATCCTGAGTGCCTGCTTGCCAGCAGTGTTGATTTGAGCACGTGGGAAAGAGAGTATATATAGAACCCTTGGCCATGCATCCAGTAGGTTAACTGTTACTGAGCATCAACCATATTCCAAGCTCTGATCTAGACCAAATGAACACAGGCTTAATAACTGGCAGGTGACTTTGAGAGTGGCAAGAAGCAGTTCTGCTTGAAACCCAAAGGAAAGCTTTGCAGAAGAAATGGGCTTGGTGTTCCGTGAGGTGGTGAGATGGATTCAGGAGGGTGAATTAGAGCCAGATTTTAACAGTATAATTAGACACACGCTAAGGAACTGAAAGTCCATTTCCTCTGTAAAGTAACTGAAGGTTTGAGCAGAGAGGCCTGGTAGGGCTGTGTTTTGTAGAGATCCCTCTGGAAGGCTGGATGGAGAGAGGTTCCATCAAGAGGGGGCAGGAGCAAAGACAGACTGCGGGAATGTTCACGTCACCTTAAGTGGCAGTGCGAGCAGGGCTTTCCCTCTGTGCCGCTGGCAGCCCTGATGCTATTCTCATGGGGACTGGGCATCTGTGGACTCTTGGTAGAAAATCTACCCCCGTCAGGAATGGTGTCTGCCAGGTTTGCCTTGAGGACCTTCCGGAGAAGGACGCAGATAAATCCACAGTGGGCGCTTATACTTCTCCGGAGACGAAGGTAAAAATAGGACTGTCTTCCGTTCCCTGGATTTTGCAGGAAGAATTTCTATCTTGGCTCATGGTAGCTGAGAACAAAGGGAACCCTTTAAGATTGTGGGAAATACCTGTCAAATAGGACAAGCACCAGCTTTTCTAGAAAGGCAATTTCAAACAGCATCAGTCAGATCCAATAAGTATGAAGGAGGTGTGAAATTAAAACTTAACCTCAAAAGACCCTTAACCTTCTATGAGAGACTGTAGAAGAGAATTCAAGTTTTAACCCTCAAATGGGGCAGGTGGACTTCTTCTGAGGTGTTTCCATCCTTCACAAAGACAAAACAAGGGCAATGCTTAAATAAATATTGTTTTGCTATATGTACACCTATAGGTACATCTATTCTATTTTTCTTCTGGAAAGTTCCTTCCACCCATCTTCCAGCTGAGTGGGAAACTTGCCTCAACTCTCAACTCAAAAGCAAATCAGAATAATGCTAATATTACATTAGACAGCCGTGCCTCCATACAGGGTGGGGCTTGTTTCCAGGACCCCCACAGATACCGGAACCCATGGATGCTCAAGGCCAGTATATAAAATGGTGTGATTCGCATACAACCTACACACATCCTCCAGAAACTTTAAGTCCTCTCTGGATTACCTTCAATATCTAATAGAATGTAAATGCTGTGTGGATAGTTGATATGCTGTATTGTGTAGGGAATGATTATAAGGAAAGAGTCTGTACATGTTCAGTTTAGATGCTTTTTTTTTCTGAATATTTTCAATCCTTGAGTGGTCAAGTCTGTGGAACTGGAGGGCATGAAAGGGGGATTATAATAGTCCTGCCTTTAGACAGGACTAGTGTGGATACACAGATAGAACTAGGCTGATGGTTGCATCATCATTAAGAGTTATTGACTTTTTGTGGATCTTCACTATTGGCTAGACGCTGTGCTTAAAGCCACCTTGGCTGATCTCAGGGAGTCCTGGCAGTGACTCTACGGTTCCAGTGTCATCATCAACCCTTCTGACCCATGGAGAGACAAGGCGGAGGAGGTTAAATCTGACCCTGGCACATAGTGTGCAGGAGATGCTTCTGGGGCTTGTCCCCTGGCGGATAGGCTTTATGGCCAGATGCTCGCTTTTAGACACATTTATTAGGCAGCAAGCCCCTGCCTGAACATCCATCCTGGTCACCCAGTGTGTTTCAAGAACGACCTTTCCCTGCTTGCAGGCCTCAGTGTAGCTCCACTGCATTCTCCAGGGACTGGTGTGCCCACCTCCTTCCCTTTCTCTATACCATTAGTAAGGCGAGCTCCACCTCAGCTGCCTGGCACATGGGGTGAGGCTATTCAGATGTGAATAAGTGGATTAAGCCAAAATAGAATGCCAACTTTTTTCTCTGTCAGTATTCTGAGTGGGAATACGGGTCTCTTGGGGGAAACCCTGCACGATTCTTTTGAGCACCTATGATAAAGATGATGCCACCTGCTTATCACGAAGACCCTCTGCCCCCAAAGACCTGCAGGCTCCCTGTGCAGTGTTTATCACACGGACAATAAGAAATGACACAGCGTTAAGGTATCTAGTAGGTGAGATCTGGAGGCAGACCTGCATCAGCACGTTAATTGATGAACATCACAAAGGTCAAGGTAGGCGAGGCGATCCCAAAGCCTAGTAAGACGAGGAGCAAGGATCACGCTGCCGCCCTCCCTCCTTGATCAGACCCACCACACCACGACAGTTGATCTCCACGGCGTCCCAGAGTGGGCCAGGTCTGTGTTGGTCAGCTGAGCAGATTACAGTCCTGCTAGCTACCGTGGACTCAGGGAGGGCTCTATCCACGGCGCTGTCTTGGACACTGACTGTGCTCTTGCTTGGCTCAAGGAGGTGGATATTTATATTCTTCTACCAAAGAGCCGGCAGAGGCTCAGGAGGAGGCTCACTTCAGGTGACAGCACTGGGGAGCTGTGTGAGCAGGGCCGCCCTTCTGCCCCTGGCCAGGCGCCCGTCCACCTGCTGCTCGGGGTGGTGTGGCCTAGACCTTGGTCTCCCTCAGCTGCATGCTCATGGCATCTCAGGCGGGCATTTTTTTCTAGTTTCTGCATGTGTATCATCTATGGCTGCCAAGTGTACATGCCAGTTGACCCCTTTGTCCTCACAACATCCCCCAAATGTCCTGTCCAGACCCTGTGAGGGGGGGACTCCTTCTAAGTGACCCGCCCCATGGGCTCCCAGCAGTGCCCCTCGAGGTTGCTGAGTTAAGGCCACCATCACCTTCTTTACCTGGGGTTTCTCCTTCACTGTGTTTTTAGTTTTGCTCGCCCGGGAAGAGGCTCCTGGCTTGGTAAAGGCGGCCCAGACATGGGAACAGAACAGTCCATCATTTCTCTGGAGAACTTGGTCTTTGGAGCTGGATATTGCAAGCCGACTTCCTCAGAGGTAAGGCCAGCCCTGGGGCCATGGACTTGTACCTGCCACTGCGTTTGCAGAGTGTGTGTTCTGTGAGATTCCTGCATCTTTCAAAGTCCCCCTAGAGATGCTCTGCTCTGCTGATCCCTTCCCCTGGCTGTCCATCCATCCTCCTCTTTATTACTGCAACATTTATTAGACACATCCTCATGCCAAGCCCTGTGGTGGGCTCAGGGGATACGGCCCACAGAAGGTACCATTATGCATGGCCCCTTGGAGAGAGAGGTTCTCTGGAGGCCAGCTGCTGTGGTGAGGGGCTTCTCTCAGATGGTGTGTGGACACTGAAAGGCTCTTGGCGTTGAGTCATGCCTGACCTCAGTGGCTGGCTCCATCCTTCATTTCTTCACTCTTTGAGTGTAACTTTCCCAAGCTGTGGAGAGGAACCAGGAAGAGGTGGTCTGTCATGCAGGATCAGGTGTGCCAACACTGCCATGAACGTGAAGTCCTCACCACCATTCCTGGTGCTCAGTGGTCACTCAGTCATCATGCATCTCCCGTCCTTCCCCTGATCCTTCTCCCCCAGAAACATCTGCTACTACTTTCCTGTGATGTGCAGGGTTTGGCTGCAAATGTACGACTGTCCCTATTTCTCCTGAGCTGGTATGTGATGTGTTTCTATTAGTGATCTGCTCAGAAATAACCAGCTTTTATTATTCAGGATTGTCAGGAAAAACAGGACCCAGAGGTCCATTCCTTGTTTTGCCTAAGAACTAAAAAAATCACAGATCAAGGAGAGTGAGAGAGAGAACATGCTCTTTTACTGACTCTCTCTCATTTGTTCTATTCAGACCTTCAGTGGATTAGACAAGCACGGCACACAGTGGGGAGGGCAATCTGTTTTACTCAGTCTACCAGTTCGCATGTTAATCTCATTCAGAAGCATCCTCACAGTCATCCAGATCAATGTTTCGCCAAATTCCTGAGCACCCATGACCTAGACAAGTTGACATATGGAATTAACGATCACATGGCCTGTGGCATGAGTGTGAAAGGCCTTCTGAGCTCGGCCACTTCCCAGGAGAGCTCTATCCTCCTGTGCAGATGGACTCCATGCTCAGACTGTCCTGAGTAACAGCACCACTTTGGCTCACTCACCTCCAACATCACCTCTCCCAGCTCTGAGACCTGGTGGGAGATCAGCCTGCAGCAGTTGCCTGTCGCAACTCCACGTGGCTCTGGCTGCTGTGTCCAGTGTTCTCAAGATCCTGAGAAGTAGAGAGAAGGGCTACCAAGGTCTATGTTAGAGCCAAATAGGATCAGTTTGCAGGTGAATCCCATAATGTATAGATGCAGGACCTTGGGTGACCACTGACATTCCAGAACCTGGTGTCCCCAGCATCAACACAGGGTCACTGAGTAACTGAGGGACTGACTATAAAGCAGTGAGCCTACCTGCATGGAGGGGGTCCTCTTTACTACGTCACACACATGAGAGGGCCCCCCACCTGGGATGGGCCACAAAGAGAAGCCTGATCTTCCTGTCTACACCCTGAAGGTCTACAGCAGAATGTCCAGGCCGAGGTGTAGCCCTAGTTGCTCCCCCAGTTTCCCTGCTGCTGGGGCACTGATGGCCGACTCTGCAGGACCAGTTGCTCTGCAAAGGTCCTCAGGCCTTGGCTGAAGTATTGTGAATATATCACAGTTTAAGTTTTCCCTGCAACCATTCCTACCCCCTCAACATGTGCTATACCCTAGACCTTCCTAGCAGGCCTCCCACCTAAAATCTTCAGCTCAGACTGCTTTCTAGGGGACATGGCCTGGGATACCAGTGACCCCATAGTCACAGCTCAATTGGAAACATTTTAAACACTTGCTTCCCAAGTCGAGGTCCTTAGTCAGTTCCACAAAAGCAGATGAAAACAATACGATCAGCCCCTTTTCCTGAAGGCCCTCTGCTCCCTGCACCTGCTCAGGGCCTGCTCAGAGGTCAGCACTGCATGAGGCACTCGGACTTCCTAGGATGAACACCTTCTCCCCAGTGCTGTGGAAGTCTCAGTCTCCTTCCCTGGGGCTCAGAGTGGTGGGAGTAGAGACCATCTCATTAGCTGACCATCCCCGGGGCCAAGCACCATGCCTGGGACTGGCTTCTTCTAAAGGAAGCCCCTGTCTAATCCCCCCAGTGGAGGCTGTGATCTGTGCTCGAGCACCGGGGGAGGGGTGAATGTCACGGGCATGTGGAGAACTGGACGGTCCAGGCTGTGGGCCACTCAGACCCATCCTTGCTGTGTATGGTAGCAGACTTGATCCTAATGGGAAGGAGCTGCAGGGTGATGGATATCTCCATGGACATCTGAGGGCCTTGTGCGGCTGCCCTGGGTGATAGCGGGGACCCGAGGGCTGGCGTGTGATGCACACTGTGGATGGTGTCAGCCCACTGGACTCTTACAGGTGACGTGTCTGAGCACGGCCTCGTCCAGTCTTCAAGTTGGACACAGTCGTAATATGGTTCAGAGAAGATTCTGGGGCAGATGCCAGCTATGGTCAGTGCTGTGGGACCTGGGGAGCTTATTCATTCCTGCAGAAACTCAGTTTTCTCAACTGTGAAATGGAATAATGTCTTTTCTTCAGAGAAGATTTCAGAGTTAACATGTGTAAAAACATTACAGAAATAGCTGTGAATGGTGGCCCATGCCTGTAATTTCAGCAGCTTGGGAGGCTGAGGCAGGAGGATAGTGAGTTCAAAGCCAGCCTCAGCCAAAGCAAGATGCTAAGCAACTCAGTGAGACCCTGTCTCTAAATTAAATGCAAAATTTGCTGGGGATGTGGCTCAGTGGTTGAGTGCCCCTGAGTTAAATATAAAGAAAAGAAAACAGCAACAAAATACATTACAGAAATAGACTCACCAGGCTCCAAATACAGTACAGATATGGTATAGTGTTGTTGTTGTTGTTTCCTATTCTTGGCTCTTTCTGGGGATGTGTGTCAAAGCTGACCTGACTGTCTTTTGTAAGAGTCAGATAGAATGGCTTATTTGTGGGTGCTTGGCATTGGATTTGCCCATGGAACTTAGCTCAATGGGTTATTTTCAGGACTTGGTTCTTTTCCTGAGCACTTTCCATTTGGGTCCCCTCCAACTATAATTCAGTGCTGTTTGCCCACCCTGAGCCTTCCCACCTGGCAAAGGCTGCCAAGCAGAGAATGAAATCCACCCCGCACTCCCCTGGGAGCCATGCACCAAATCCCCCAAAAGCCCAGAGTATTAGCAAATGGCGCTGCAATCTGCACAGATTGCAGCCTCCGCTGGAGGATTAGACAGGGGCTTCCTTCAGAAGAAGCTAGTCCCAGCAGAGGTGTTTGCAAAACTAGTTCTGCAGCAAAACGTGCTGATTGGCAAGGCATCAGGAGAGGTGATGATGCTGTGCCCCTCTGGTTAGCACAGACCCTCTCCTGATGGCCGCTCTTTGCTGCTGCACCCTCTGTGTTAGACCCTTTGTGTTCAGAGTTGCTGGAGCAGGGCTCCTGTTCCTCCCACCTCCAGCTGTCAGCGTTGCACCAGGGGAAGCACTGACCCTCTCTGCCTCCCAGCGTATCTGCCAATACAGATACTCATGCAGGCCTGGAAGGGTTGAGAGAAGACTAAGTGGAGTCACCTTATAAGGGCCTTGAGAACATAGGCCCTGGCACAAAAATTCCCAAGAAATGCTCTGCTGATATTGTTTCCTTATCATTTATGCATATGATTAAATAAACTCTTACTGCAACAGCCCCAGCCCCGGTGTGGTCTTGTGGGTAGGACTTTGAATCAAACATCTTAAATGCGGTTTTGTTCTTGGCTTCTGCCTTAGCTTGCTGTGTGAGCTTCAGCCCCTTGCCCTCTCTGACTCTCAGTTTCCCAAGGTGTAGAAAGAGAGCTGGATGGAATCTTCCAGGAGCCTCCTCCTGCTCTTTGCTGCTTTTACTGAAATCCCCCTCGAACTGCTATGTACAGCTTGGGCAGTTGGTCCACAGCAGCAGACCCCAGAGGATGTCATGGCCCCCACCACTGTGTGTGTGTGTGTGTGTGTGT